ATCTGATGGGCCCATTCCATACCTAATCAGACAACTGATGATTTAAAGTAATTTTCTACAAACCTAACCTAAAGTAAGGAAATGTCTTCATTTAACTACAATAAATACTATTTTCCAGCAGACTGCAGTGTAATGATTTTTTGTTTTTACAAAATAATTGACAATTTAGGAGGTATGATGACGTTTATGTCCGTTTGCATGCACAATGAATGAAAATACATACATATGGGAGGTTTCAGAGTTCATCTAAACCAACCAAGCAATCATTTCTTTATATTTTATCTGTAATACCACTACAATCCTACTTACATTACAGTCCATCTGAGCAGAAAATGACAAAAAAATAGGCTTTCAAAGGAAAGGTGAAAAGTGTGTGCACCTAACCAGAAAGCTTCAGAGCATCAATGCAAACTAATATAATATACAGTCCTCCTACAAAGTGGAATAAACTGACTCAAAATGGTTTTAAGCACTTTGGTAGTAAGAAGTTTGTTTATGAAATCACAATGCAAGGTGGGAACTGAACCCAGAGTTGCCTCTCAAAAAGAAAACATGCGAAGTCAATGTGGGACAAACAGGAAGCATATTCAGACTTAATAATGCCCAAATGTACTTACCTTCAGCCACATCGTCATCCATCGCTCCTTTGACTTGAGAGAAGCACCACTGCACATCGCTGCTCCCACCACCGGGCCCTGGACGGGACACGAACCGTAAGTTTTGACACACCACCGCCAAAGGCAACACACTGAATAACTAAAGGCTACTTTAGCGCACTGCGACAGCAAGGCCATGCGCGATTTCATAAGAACCGCACATTGTAACTGCGGGGACAAAATCCCCCTAAACCAGAAGTTGGGATGTGTTGGGTTAGCTCACTTTCAGGCTGTACGGAATTCACACGGGAATCTCGCAGTATCCTAGCTTGCTAGTTAGCTTCCTGCTCTTAACCACAACAGAAACTAAAGCAGCATGTGTGCGATTAAGCATGATGATTAGTAAGAATAGCTCATACGTACGTTCTGACAGTTTTCTTTTACCTGCCATGGTGAGGGACTGGGCTCTCTGTAGCAGGTTCAGGCCCTGGACTGAAGCAGTGCTGCTGACCCGGGTCGGTTGGGGTGGTTCTGACCGAGGAGCACTGGAGCAATGAGGCTGTTGCTAACTCCAAATGCCGTCAGTCCAACGGTTGCTCAAAACACGAAGCTATTTTTTTTACAACACTGAAAGACTAACACACAGCGTTCAGTACTGGTCTACAGACTTTGTACTGCACTTTGAGATTTCCCTCGCATCTGCCTCCTCCAAGCTTTACACTTTCAAAATGGCGCTACGCGGGCGGCGCTTGGCAGGAATTAGAGAGCAGACGGTGCTCCATTCATTTCAAGCCGAAGCTTAAGCGAAAGGTGCCCGACTTAAGATAAAAGTTCCTAAAAGCAACTGTGTCTAGATTTTCATTTACTTTTTCCACTGACGTGTTCCAAAAAGTGAAAACTTTGTTATATAAAACAATATCGCGCATGAGCCCCGCCCTTGTCAGCTATTCATTTAGAAAAATCGAGCCAACCTCCTGCACTCACTAGAACCAGCAAACTCAGTGGATATTGATTTAGATTCGACGAGCTGCATTTAGTTCATGCAGTTTATATTGGTATTAATTAACAGCAATCTGGGAATATATGGTGTTGTGCTTTGCTTGTCATTGAAGTGAGTCAGAGCACCTTCAAATATTTAATAACCTCAATTATACCTCGAAGTTTTCTTATTGTGACTTCACAAAATAGTGGTCTTGTGGACACTTCTGTTGACTGGGTGTACAGACATTATTAATACAGCTCCAGACAGGCTGAAGATGAATACCAATTTTAGTAATCTTCAATCTTTAATGAGCTTGCTTAGAAAAAAATTCCACATTAGGAACCTTTAAAACTAAATTGGAAGTGGTATCTCATACAGTTTAATACTTGGAGGGGAATAAATAAATAAATATCAGTACAACAGTAATGGAGCCTGACTGGTGAATTTGGAGAAAAATAAATAGAAATTGTTGTTATTAATATCAAATTAATAACAAGCAGTGATGATGGTAATAAAGGACAAATTGGATCTAATTTCGTTTTATTTCAATCTGGGAATCACTTTCTTCAGACACTTAAGATTAGACGTGGAGTAATTCTTAGCAAGAGACATTAATTCAGCTGTTATTATTAAGTCATGGCCACGAGATGTTAAACTGTGACCACAATTTTTATCTTTGTTTTTATTTTTCCTCCCATGTCATCAGACGGTCACTGTAGAACAGGAATTAAGTTTCTTCTATAGCAACATTATAATAAACGCTGAGCATATAAAGGGCACGACATTTGACCATGTTTATTTGCAAAATCTCTCTAAAACCAGCAACCCCCCAACCCCAAACATACAATATTACACAATACCAATACCCTACAGTCTGCACATAAAAAAAAAAATCTGCATTTAACAGTAGGCAGAGGAATGTTTTCACAGCTATAGATACAAGCAAATTGCCATCATTTGTGGTTGTGTTACAATGCACATAACATGAACTGCACAGTCAGTCTCAGCATCAACAGTCACACATTTTATTGAACCTCTAAGTGCATCGTTTTGATTCTGATCGAAAAAGCAGAAAAAAACAGAGTGCTAATCACAGAGAGAGAAGGGAGATGAGACAAATCCTTTCTTCTTACTACAGCGACTGCTTGGTTGGTTCATTGAGTCTCAGCTCTAAATCCGAGAAGAAGCTCATTCTTCCACTTTTTTCACTTTCCCACGATAAAGTAAGTGGTCCACCTGGCCAGCAGCAAAGCACCAAAGATCACAGTGTAGCTGAGGAGAACGAACTTCAGGAGTTCCTTGAGTGTCCTGAGGAAGCGCACGAACAGGGGCTCCACGTCCAGGCGCTTGATGTTCTCATCTTGATCCATTCTACAACACAAACGTCTGACAAATTGTAATATAGTGGAGACAATAACACCCAAATTAGTTTACAAAAAAACACAATAAAGAGAAAAATACAGTTTGCAGGTTCCCCACGTATTCTTATTTCAAACTTTCATACTTTATTGAAACCTCTAGATATTTTGTATAGTTTTGATTTCTGTAACATTAAGAACTGCACAAAACCAACCTTGATTATATTTATTTATTTATTTATTTTTACAAAAAATGTTCTTTATGCACTGATTTAAACAACTTCAAGCTGGATTAGTTTGAAATAAGTGATTTTTTTAAAATCTCACTGACATTGAGTGACCTGGTGCGATACGATCACGTGTTATTATTGTTATTGTGAGAATTAATATATTTTTACGATACATTCCCTCAGCACGTCTTCAAAAAAAAAAAACTATTGATGGCTGTAATCATTAAAATGCAAATAATTTAAATACACATTTAAATTCAGCATAGATTGCCCTGCTGGCCAATTCAGATAAAAAATAATCTTTTCATAAAGGAAGATGAGAATGACCAGAACCACAATGAAACCCAATTCTCAGACTTATAGACAGTCACACAACAGAGAGATGTGAAAACTTGAGTAATGTGAGCTCTTTTCTCTTTCCATCAACAGCCTCTCAGCTGAATTTTGTCATGACTGTAGAAAAGCTATGTTCTTTCTTAACGTAAGTAAGATCCACAGAGACAAAAGCTTCTATTAAAGTCTGAACTGCCGGGAAAAAAAACATTTAAACTTTGGCAACGCTCCCTAAACCGATCACATTTCTTCTTGAAAACCTGTTATGTGGGAGATATAAAATATGAACTTTTATATCTCCCACTTCAGAAAATTCCTGAAGAAATTAGAATAAAAAATAATACCAATATTTTTTCATTTGATCTGAAGGATTCAGTGCTGAGATTTACAGTAAGTTTTTCTGAGGCAAAATGTGTGGTTAATAATTTATGTTGAAATTGCACTAAGTGGGTCTTATTGATCTGCTATGTTTGTGTGCAGTCGTCAACTTGAGCATCATTCATGTCTTCTTTTCAGATAGAGGTAAGAAGAAAAGCAAACTACCAAATACCGAGCATTTGCAGTAACACAGAAGTCACAAAATATTTGTAGCCCTTAAACTAGCATTTACACCAACATAAATGCAATGTCTTTTTGTGCAATAGCTAGTACTCATCAACACTATTACAACGTTACACATGAAATGTTTTTATTTGTGTCCCAGAAACTGCAGAAAAAGTCTAAGGTTAAATTTGTGTGGCAGAAAGATTCCTACCTCGGTGTTGCTGCAACTGGACAAAAAGCTGATCAGATGCGCCTGTCTCTTCTGAAGTTCAAAGTAGGTGTGTGCAATGTTGTGTGCTTTGAGCCCTTCTGGTAGAGGAGGAGCTAAAAGCAGAAACTGATCACAAGCATCTAAATCTCCCAGGGTTGATATAGTGACAGTTTACGACTTCTGCGCACCTGCTCCTCAAACAAAGAGAAGTGTAAGATTTCTTTGGAAAATCTGACCAAAGTAGCGTCCAAGGTTTCCAGCCCATCAACAGGAAGGAAATTAACACTGACTTGACAAGAGTTTCCCAAAAATATCTCTCAGCAGGTCTCCCTTGGTGTACAGTGTAAGGCAAGCAGAAGGTATTGACTGATGCAGATATCAAACACCCTCCTGCAGCACAGTTATCCTCTACCGGAACATGGAGCAAATGGCCTCCTAATTAAATCAGCGTCCTGCTCTGTCAAATCACGGGCCGCCATGGGCTGAGCTCTCCAGACAGCGCAGGGCTATTATCGGCTGATCGGCAGGCCTGTTACTGCGCTAATTGCTCCTTCAGAGAGCTGGACCACGCCTGATGGATTCACTGTCTTGTGAAACAACCAAAAAAAATAACAAACAATAAACACGAAACAGGACAAATGGCGAAGCGCTTATTAATGCAGCAAAACTAATTCTAGTTGATTAAAGTTTTATTTGCCCATGTTCATCAGTAAAAGACAGATGGCAAAAAAAAAAAAAACATCCAAGTTTTCGAAGCAAATCAAAGTGAGTCTTTATTCACATGTTTGATTCTTTACAAGGCATACAAACATATATATAGCATATCTTCAGCTAAGCAGTCATGTAACAGTATAAATCCAGGTTTATCTCTGTTGTCCAGTTGCCATCAGCAAGCAAACTTATTGTAGACAGATGTAAATTGCGCTTGATGCCAAAAGTATTCACACATGACACCCGCTACTCATGGGTGTGGGAGAGGGGCTGTTTTGTGGCGACCTGCCACAAAACAGCGGTAGTGTAGGAGGCTCAGGGAATCTGAGATTCTGGTCTGTCCATGAGGGATTTGATCCAAGTGGTGCCGTTGATGAGTTTTGTAGTGGCTATGATGTACTCCATGCCGCTGTCTTCCATCTGAGAGAGGAAACGCAGAGCGGCTATTTCTGCGTACGTCACCCCGCCGAGGAAGAAAACCAGCGTGGTTCGGTTTTCCCCCTGTTGGCCTGCAGGAGATTAGAAGAGAAGATGAACTCAAAGAGTCAATCGATCAACTTACTTTCAAAAGTGTTCATACCCATAGAAGATTTTTAATGTTCTTTTTGCAAGTAAAAAGTGTGGCATACATTTGCTTTGAGCTGCTTTATTCTGAAACCCAGAGCAACAAATAGCCCCCACCAGTTATTTAGTTAGTACATGGAGTCATGGAAAATTATGGAAGAAGATGCTCTGGTCAGATCAGAACAAAACAACTCCCACCAAAGTACAAAAAAAAACTGTCAGCAATTAAATTAAGGTTTCCTATTATCACCTCCATAACCAACTGAAAGCAGGCATGTAGCAGCGAGTCAGCCATCTAATGCTCAAACTCACACCTCTAATTACCCCATTTTAAAGTGTCTAATTAAAATGCATTATTAAGATTTTCTGTTTCCTAAAATAAATCACAGAGAAAACACGCATATTTTGTAATCCAGCTTGTAATCTGACATTGACGATAACTCGGTTGCATTGTCAGGTCCCAGACATCAATCAGCGTTCCCCTTCCCTAAAGCAAAGCCTGCATCTTATCTACGCAGGGCAGACAGACGACTGTTTTCACTCTGTGACGAGCGGCAGGATGTGCAGCGGCAGCAAGATTAGCGTCTCAACATGATAACTCAAAGGTTCAACTCTGGGTTCTCAGTCGGGAAGGCGATTTGCATCGTACGAGGGGGAATTAACATGGTTACTTTTACCGAAAGACACAGATTGCGTTCAAGATAAGAGGCAAACAAATGTGCAAACACAGCCTCTTGACAACATGGAGACAGAAGAACATCTTTCTTGCACAGCTCTTGAAGGGCGCTATTGTGTATTTTTTCAGGCACATGGTGGGATTTTATAGCACAATCGAGTAACCATGTTGCCTTTAGTAGTTATAAAAATACTGTATATATCAAAGATGACTTAAAAGACTTTTGTCTCCTTGAATTTGGCCTCTGTGTCTTTCAGACTCTCCTGCTCTTTCCATCATCACCTTCAGCACATCGTCACAACAATGCTTTTCGTCTTGTACAACCATTCTTAAGAGCACTGTACTGAGAAGAAGCTCATTTTATAAGACCAACAGTTCCACAAGGTGTTTGCTCATTGCTGCTGACGCTAGTCTGGAGGAGCTGAGCTGGGGAGACACAGGGGAGGCGTGATCTCAGCTGGAGACTGCAGCTCCAAGGAGGAGCTTTGGGTTAATAGGCAGTACTTTGTGAGCTGATTCAATGATTGAAACATTCTTGAAAGAATCACAACAACGCTCAAAGTATATTTTTGATGAGGGAATGTCATATTAACATAATGTAAAACTTAAAAGAGTAAATTTTGTGCAATACAACCCATCAATGATCTAAAAAGCTGGATTCTCAAAGCGGACAGTAAAAAGACACCCAGAGTAAGTTCGGCCTCTGTTTAGCACTTACGTTTCTTATGAAGTCCAGATGGGAGCTGTTGTCTCTCCTCGAAGTGTGGGCCCGGCAGCATCTTTAGCACCTCTTCGATGCTGCGCCAGCCCGGCCTCGCCAGCACCTGAGTGAGCCGGATGCTGAGCGGCGCGTAGCCGCTGTACACATACGAGATGTCGTTTGGGTTCTGTGGGTGTGACCAGAAAAATGCTCAAGGAAAACCCTTTGAAACCGCATGATTTTAATCTTGAGCACTTGTTCGTGTCCGACCTGCTCGTTGGCGTCCTCCATCCACAGCTTGAGGGTTTTTCTAATAGTGGGGTAGTTATTTCTGGAGCCTGTCTGTGACTTCAGAAGACCCGCCTTCTCCAGGTTGTTCAGCGTTAGTATGTGTTCATAGCCATAAGTCTGAAAGACAAAGAATCATTTTCTTTTAGCAAAATACAATAAATATTAAAAGAAAAAAAAAACTCCCCAGTTTTTTCTTCTTAACCCCACCTGAAGTATCTCCCTCTTGTAGTAATCCAGCACCTTCGGCTTGAGGCCATTGTTGCACACTGACTGCATGGACACCAGGCGCAGAATCTTGATTAGTGGATCCTTCTGGGCGATGCAGTCTTCTATGTATGTGTTCACCTGGAAGGTAAAGGGTTTCACTTAATTACAATTATCAGTTATGTAAAGCATTAGCTTGAAAACAATCTCTGTTTTACCTTGTCTGTGTCGACGCCCGTCATAAACTCCTGCTCCACTGTTAGGTTATCAAAAAAGGCCTCAGATGCTGAAACCAGGAAGTGTTCGATTTTATCATGTGCACGCAGAAATTCTCATGATTTTAAGGAAATAAAGCATATATACACTAAAAGATGATAAACAGAGATTATAGTGTGTGAAGCTTATGTAAGTACTTGATGGAAATTGGGTATATTTAGGTCGTTGCTTAGCTAGTAGTGAGAAGGCTTATGTTTTGATGAACCTCTGCAGTATTATACACACTGGTTATATCTTTAATCAGCTCAGCAACAGACGTGTGGTTGGCCAGCGAGCTTCGAGCTGCCTGCATGTGAGGCAGTTGAGACACAAACTGCTTTATCTCGCCCACTGTTTTAGCATTATGGCGCTCCTGGAAGAGAAAGACCACAAGGGAATTTAAATGTAGCAAAAAGATCAACTTTTTTAACAACTTGGTAAATGATTTTTGATCATCTAAGCTACTACCTCCAAAAAGGCAATCAAAATGAGAAGGCACACCAAAAGATAAGAACTAAATGTATATATAAACATTCAAGTTTATATGTTTTTAAAAGCTAGATAAGAAATTTGTTTTTGTATTTTTTTTTTAAGTTAATATTTTAATGGAACTGTATATACTTAAGAGTTGTAATGTTGTGAAATATTTTAAATATATTGTGATTTTATTTTTAACTGTTTACTTGATAATAACTCAGGACATAGCTGGTATTGTTTTTACAAGCTTTTGGAAAACTAAAGGGCTATCATCAGTGGTCACTGCAACTTCTTCATGTTGAAATTTTATATTTCTTCAGACTTCAACTTACAGACCTTAAAACACACAATATTTCACGACTGAAAATCTGTGGATATGATAGAGTGAAGTTTGGAAATACAAGTATTTTTTTATACCTTTCCACGTGTAGAGTATACTTAAATCAAATTTCATTTCTAGAAACATTTATTTTAGCAACATTTTAAAACAGTCCCCGCACCCCCCCCAAAAAAAAAACATTAAAAAGGAGCCCAGTAAAAAGGAATAGTAAAAACGGAAGCTAAAGGCCAACCTCGAAGGCTGCAGATATAATTTTGGCCTTTTTGCTGAGCGCCGCGCCAACAGCATTGAAGTTTTTGTCGCGGATTTCCGCGTACAGTTCCTCTGCAGAGTTCAGCTGTAACTTCTTGGGCTCTGTAGGCAAATCTTTGCTACCTTCACCTTGCTTTTTCTGTGCAAACTTCTCTGGAGGGAGCTTGACATATCCTGTAAGATTCAGTAGAAAACTGCTATTATCTGTAATTAAACCAAGCTGAGAATGTATATCAGTTTATATTCTTCTAAGTTAGCATAAAAAAAAATTAGATTCTGACCATTATTTATTCCATAGATCTCATCAATAAGTCCCTCATAGGTGAGCTGTGTAGCGAGGGGGGTCAAGAGGTCAACGTTTCGGTCCAGGAGAAGAAGAGTATCAAACACCGGTAGAATCTGATTCTGAGTGCCAGCAAACTCCCTCTTCATCCGCAACATCATGTTGGCAACATGCTGGGGAAAAAAAAAGCAGAGAACACCGTTTGTCAGGAGAAAGCATTCTCATGCACATCTGTCTGTACGCAGTCAGGTGTTTCAGCATCACACGGATCCTCACTTACACGTGCACAGTCTCCTTTCCCAAATATCTGAGGGATGGTCCCATAGAGCGCCTGTAAGGTCATGAGGCCTTTGGCTGTGTGGTACAAACTCGTCTGGTCATTTTCCAGATAGCACTCCTAAACAAGGCGAAAGATTCAGAAGAAAAGCTCTTAAATAAACTTGACATAACTCATCTAGTTTTAAATATTCAGAAAGTGTTTTTTGGTTTTTGCCGTGGTTCATTAGTGCACTGTGTATTCACCCTAAAAGCGCTTTCATACTCCATGGAAAGCAGGTCACCATCAAAAGGAATCAGGTCCAGGATATACTCATCAATGTTGACAAAGGAGCCAAGCACTCCCTGCTCCTTCAGCCGCTGTTCACACAGCATGCTCCGCCGAGGCACGAACAGGATGTGGAAGTCTCGTGCCGGATGGAGCTTATCTTCACTACAGCGATTAAGGACGTAAATGTTACATGGAGTAAAGTTTGCAGTATACTCAAGAGGAAACACTTCAATGTTGTTTAACAAACTGACATAAACCCACCTAAATATATTGTCAGCAATGATGTCCATAAGCTCCAGCCTGGGACGGATAAAGAAGATGATGTTTTTGACGTCAGCAGAGGGGAGTCTGCCGCTCTTCAGGGTGAACATCTTTTCCACTTCATGTTCCTAAAAACACAAATAGAACAAATGAAAACTAGGACAGCTAGTTATTAAAATGAACATTGTTAGAAGGGACTTTCATTCTTTTTGTTTGTGTGTTGATAATTATTCATTTATTTTGCAGAAGAGTCGCTTACCTTCAGAAGAGAATACTGAGCTATCAGACCAAAAGGCCCCGTCAGATACTCATCCCAAACTATGGCCTGTAAGGCAGCAGAACAGAATATTACAGTCGGGGGTCAGACGCATGAATATCACTTTGTTTTTCATAATCGGGACTGAACTGAAAATACAATTTAAACCAACCTCATGGACAAAACTGAAGTCTAAATAAAGATGCAAATTTTTAAATGTTATTGTCAATACACTAAAAACCATATATGGTCCAATCATGTGCAACAAATATCTAAGTTAAACACAACTTACAAAGTGGGGCCATACTGGCTTGACATTTGACTTTAGGAAATCAGAGATTTAATTCAGATTGGTTGGATCCAGGTTTATGAGTCAATTCATTTTAAACTGGGTTGACTCAAGGCCATTCCATAAGGTTAATGTTAGCCTGCTTTAAATGACATGTGATGCATGTACAATGATCACACATGCTTGTGTCAAAGCTGTCAGAGGAACTGATCTCTGTTTAGTCCTGTCTGTCAGCATCTTGGTCGGAAGCTACAGCAGAAAAATGTAATGAATTTGAGTGTATTCAGGCGAAATATATGCATGCGCCTTACCTTACTTCCTGCACACTTGTCCAAAAACTCTCGAAGCTCTTTTCGTGCCGCTTCTCTCAAAATGTTTAAATTAACTCTGCCGTATGAAAGATGGGCCGCCATTTTGCCTTCAACGGCAACATGAAGTCAGGTGACACCAGAGAAGTCACGTGACAAAACGCTTTACGATAACAAGATGGTTCGCGCACATTTCAAACAGTAGACAAAAATACGCATGTACGTATTAATATTACAACAACAATAATAATAATATAAACGTTAAATAGTTTAAATTTCGTAGGCGTTCTACTGTAGCTTAATTAAGGATAAGTCAACTTTATTAGCTTCATGCTGCATATTTGTGTGACAGTGGATAACGATAAACAACCCCGTTCTTTTTTACAACTCTGTCGCTGTACTACCGATGCAGCTTCACTTGAATTTATTAAGTATCTCCAACAAGAAAGCGCGGTGGCGGAGTTATCTTGCTCCATCAGTGGTCTTTGGGCTTTTGTTGTGGGTGTGGCACAGACGACAGCCTTTGAAAAAAGGCTCTTGTTCTGTCGGACCAAGTTGTTTCAAGTGGAAAAAGTATTCGTTCAGCGCCACGCCAAATTGCATTGCGACGTGGTTGAATGTGCTGTTTGGAAACAGCTTGAATCACAAATCTGATCACTTTGCGGTGTAATAAACAACAGGAACGTTAGATGGCGCAGTGTGACCGCTGTTAAATGTGACCGGGTTGTGAATCCTTCGCATTTAAGGTTTCTTTATGATTCTATATTGTTGGAGTAAAATGACTTTACACCCAACTTGTGTGAGCATAAATATGGCTTGCGAGCTAATAAAGCAACCAGAAACATTTCAGGACATTTGAAAATAAACTCAATAGGGTGATAAACACTTCTAAAATAAAACTGATGAATGATTTTCTTCAGATAAAGTTCAGAAGAGCAGATGTTAATTTTATAATAATAATAATAATAATAATAATAATAATAATAATAATAATAATAATAATAATAATAATTATTATTATTATTATTATTATTATTAATTTTTTATTATGTATACAAGCAGAACCAGTCCCCAGTAAAGCCCTTTGCCGATGCGCAACGAAACCGACAGTGATTTCTCAACAGTGCTGTCTGGATGAGGGGATAAATTTAGACAGTTCTAAAGAAAACTGGATCAGGTGGTGCCTGCCCACTTAAGCATCACACTGTTATCACTTCAGATCCAGGGGTTTCCTTCCCACGGTACCAAGGGCTTTCCATCAACCACGTAGGGCAGCCAGCTCCCCACGCACGGTGGTGGTCCACGGTGCGTGTGTGTGCAGCAACGCAGCGGAACGCTGTATATGACAAATAAACAAACGAAGCGCTGGTCCGATAGTGAGTGGCAACATGCGCAATGACTAACAACTCTGTTAGACCCCGGCAGCGCACAGAAATCTAGTCCGCATCATTCCCTGGCAGCACTACGAGAGAGAGGAGAGACAGAGAGGCACGGCTGGATTCTCAGGTAGGCTCCACGATCTCATCGAAGCACTGTATTTTCACCATGTGAATTGCTTCTTCTTCTTCTTCTTGTTTTTTGGGGGTGGGGGGGGGGGGGCGTCAGAATTTGTTAAACATGCAAGCTGAATTAATGCACCACTTCATTCAGAAGAGCAGCGAGGGAGAGGAGCTGTGCATCACCTCTTAGGACGGAACATATTTCATTGCTTGTGTTCATTTAATGGGGGGCGGGAGGGATCATTTGAGTAATAGATTTGTGAATGAACGCGCTGCACTCTATGTATGTTGGGAGCCCCTGTTAAATCTGAGCAGCAGCAGAGTAAATGAAATGAAAGCATCCTCACTCCCGTAGAGGCGGTGATGCTTCTCGACTCCTTAACGGTTTGCAGAAAAAGTACTGAGGTTTTGGACTAAGTTTATTCATAGCTGACAAGCTATGGAGATTACTCCTGGTGTATGTAGTAGGTTATGTTTTAACTCCACCCTCAGCATTGTTCACAGCAAGTACAGGGTACCTTACCCCTAAGCCCCCCTCCTCCCAAACAAAACTGTGCTTCCTTGTTGCAGATCTAACATCAGAAAGCAGCACCGGTCAGATATTTTGGAGATTGAGTTGTTGCAGACCCTGGGCGTTGCTGCATGATTTTTTTTTTCTTTTCTTTTGAAGCGCATGCTGTGACTGCAGCCTGGAAGGAGAAAACATCTTTGAAGCTTACAAAAAAAAAAAAAAAAACATCTGCTGAGCTCTAAACTCCAGCTGTGTCACTGGACAGGTGATTCACTCATTTACAGGTTGTGATCTGTTAGATTTGTAGATGTTTGCACAGCTGGGTCAGAGAGGTCTAGTGTGGATTATTGACACTGATATCATAATTAAAATAAGCTAAAGGGGGATGAGAGGGGTGGAATGCAAGTCTGCCTCCTCCACCATCTCCAATGTGTAGACCTGAAGTACAGGGATAAATTGGGGGAGGGGAGAAAAGACTAAATGAACAGTCGGAGACATATCTGCTGCTGCTGCTGCCTTCTCTCACATGAGCAACCATGGTATGGTGAACGGCCGACATCCCTCTCTCCGTATTTCTTTGTGTTTCTGCTTGGCTGTCGTCATTTATGTTGGTAGAGGAAGGACTAGAGAACAAAAGAGAAACGTGGAACAAGTAAAAATCAGAGACAGAGAGCTTCTTGGACACATGAGTATTTGGATAAAACATGAAAAAAGATGGAGGAATGGAGTAAGAACACCAGTGCACATCAACTGCATTATTTAAAGCTGGATGCTGTCGTACCCATAATCCCATGTCTTCAGACTGTCTTCCTCTCTAGCTGTCCTCTCTTTTCAACTGTGCCAGCTGCAACTGTGACCTGCTCTGCTTTGGAGATGTTAAATTTGGTGCAGGTACCATGAAAACACAGAACACAAATGCACACACACACGCACGCGCACGCACGCACACAAAAGCATTTCATCACTCCGACTGTCGTCTTTTGATTTTGCTGTTACCATGGCCACAGTTTGTAAAGGTGGGTGACTGTGCTCTCCTGTGGTTTCACAGTCCATGTATGTCCACATCACGTGTCTCACTTTACATTCCTGTAGGTTTTTAATGGCGAACTTGTTAAGATGAGAGACGCAACACTCTGCCATTTGTGTCAGAGCTTCAGAAGGGAGTGGCTTCATTTTCAAATTGTAATCAGAGACGTGGATTAGGATCTATACACTGAGATTTTATGACGATTAAACGTCCCTTAGCTGTGTGATATTTAGGTAAAAGCAGAGATAACTGTTAAGGGCTTTAAAACAAAAATGTTGGCACCCTTTGTCAGCTTTTTGCAGTGATTTCAAAATCTTACGGTTTACATTCAGTGTCAATTTTGACCCTTTTTTTTCTCTAAGCCTTTTCTTAAAAGCATTTAGCAGTCTCAAGACCAGAAATCTTTTCTTTTTTTTGTTTTGTTTTATGCATAATGCCACAAGTGACAGAAAACTAATATATGAAATCACTCTGATTGTTCCGTGCAGTAAGAAGGTGACAGCATCATGATGCGGGCATGCTCTTGCTGAGCAGGGGCATGGAAAGAGGCCAGCAAGATCCTCTAACATTTCTCTATTATTTTCAAACCCCTGGAGTATTACGTAAAGTACAAAGTCAGTCTTCCTCATCTTTTTTAAATCAAAAGCTGTGCCAAACAAAGCCTTTGCAATGCAGTCTTTGGACCACAATACTTTTTCAATTTTTATCACTTACATGCATCAGAAAGTACATACGAGTATTGCACTGCACATCACTCTGATTACACCATCTCTGTGTAGAAACATGGCAGTGGCAGCATTATGCTGTGGGGATGCTTTTCTTCATCAGAGACAGGGAAGCTGCTCAGAGTTGACGGGGACAATCGCATCCCCATCTGTGTGAGCTCAGGGCTTCCCCTACAAAACACTCCAGAATCCTTTCTGCCTATGCCAAACAACTTATTCTCCGAACAACTCTTTTTTTTTAAATTTTGTTTCACTTATGGGATGAAACAAATAAGTGATCGATGTTTGAAGAAACAAAACATGTTGGCAATCTGGCAAGCAATTTGTTCACTTAGCGAACTGGAGCCTCAGTGAGAGGACCAGCAGTTTGACACCTTCTCTTCATCCGCTTGGTCACACACTGCTGTGGGGTGCTATCCCATTTTTCCAGACAGCCAATGTGGTTGTGTTGTACAATGGAGTTTCTCAAATTTTAGTGGTAGACTCTGATAAACTCTGCTCCGTGCGCATCGACGTCTTACAGAGTTCAAAGCCCTCGCAGCGTGGAGATGCGGGACTGTTTGCTTAAAATCTGTCTGCCTTGACATTGCTTCCAATGATGACATATAGCTTGTTTTTCCTATGAGGGAGATGCTGCCTCCACAAAAAGCTGTTTGGCAAAGGATTTGGGCTGTTTTTCATGGGTGCAACCCACATGCTCAATGCTGTTGCTCAATCCACAGATGCATTTTTCCTATAAATGTGGCCCCATGTAAGAGGAAATAAAGTTTCTTTTTAAAATCTTATGACACAATTGACATTTATCTGTTAATAGCCAGAGAAGAAGAGGTCCAGAGACAAAAGGGCGAGACATTCATTAAATGGTCCAGGGTTCGGAACCGAACCTGAAATAACTTTATTGAGGCTTCTTATTTGGTGCACCTGCTCATGGAGTGATGACAGGCCCCAAGAAATAAAAATGGCTTTCAAACCTAGAATATTTATGACCAAGAAGCATTGGTCAAGGATCTACAATGAAGAAAACATCAACCAAAACCCAAATGTCCTTATTGGCAATGCAGCTCATCCTGTTTTGTCCCAAAAGCGGTACCAAAGCCTTTTAAAGGCATCCCGCTGTCTCTGTACCAGAACAGTTGCCAACTGGGATGTGTTAAAAATGCCTCTGGGGATTTGTACCTGGTAGTTCATCTGCAGGCTTGGATGGAGAGTCGGATAACCCGCAGGTAAAAATGTGCCAGTAGAGAATTCCCAAACTATGTGGAGTATCTCTGCTCAGCATGTTGCAGTTTACTGGGGACAGCCGCTGAATGTCTTTACAAGCAGTCTTTCTGATTTAAAGCTTCTGTCTGGTGCTTGTTTCCCAGAGATGAGAAGGGATCATGGGAGGGAATTAAAGGAGCTTGACTGACCAATGCATCAGCAAAGCAGCTCTCAGAGTCCTACCTCTTACCCCTCGGGGCATACAAGAGTGAATCACCATCAGCCTTGCAAGATGAGACTGGCTGCAGGCTCTTACTGGAGTGCAGTTAATTCACTGCTCCATGTCCTACTGCTTTTTTTCTTTTTTTCAGATATGCTCGAGTTCCAAAGAAAGGCTGCGACACAAGTACTTTGTGAATGACATAAAAATAGTCAAACAAAATTAGGATCAGGGGACATTTCATCTGAAAAATTCAAAGCAAATCCCTTTGATTACAGAGTACAGGGTTTGACATGGACTCACTGTGCATTGAATTGCTGCAGGAAAGGAAAACACAGCACCTGACCGTTGTGGGTCTGTTGATCAGAGCCAACATTTGTGGCCGGGTAGCAGCACGGTAGCTTGTCGGTCACTGGACAGTCTTTCCTGTTTGTTCTCCAGCGAGGCAGGTCCCTGGAGCCGTGCCTGCCTAGCGGATGTATCTGTGTGTATTGAAGCGCTACAGCTCTCTCGCATTGTCAAGGTGAAGAGTCCTCACATATGGTCCCGCAGATGGTTCCCGTCAACGGCATTGTGCGCACAAAACATTGATAATTTGTCAGCGCAAAGATCAAACAGACTACCATACATGCTGCTACCCAAAACGGAGTTTCTCAGTCTGCCGCGTCCACACACACACACACACACACACACACACACACACCACACACACACACACACACACACACACACACACACACACACACACACCACACACCACACACACACACACACACACACACACACACACACCTCTTTTAACTCGAACCTGCTTTTCGGTGCAGAAGGCTTGTACTAATGCTTTAACGAGGGAACTTACTCAGAGCAAAGGGCCATGTGGTTGAGGGCTGTAAATAATTCAAAAATGCTGAGTGATGCATTCTTTTTGCAGTGGAGGGCTTTATGTGGTGCATTACTTTACAGTCTTGCTTAGCACCGAGGCATAGCGCGTTACCATGTTGGCATCTCACCATTTTTTTAATGGATGGAGCTTTGCCATCTCATAGGAAGTGGGTGGTTTCCTCGTGTTTTTTTGGCGCTTTCTACCCCGTCGCCTCCATTCCTCTCTCTGAGTGACTGATGTGTAAGCATTAGACATCATAGGCTGAATCTGTGAAGTTAGCTCTGAAGGCCACATTCCCATGACATTTACAGTGGCTATGTTCTGCATGCCCCCACAGGTTTTATGACAAATTGTGATTTACATCTGAATCTAACTTTTTTTCTCATAAACTTTTCCAAATTTCTCCAGCATGTAAAGTATTTAAAAAGGAAAAAAAAAAAC